TGATAGGACCGATTGCGTTGTCCACGTCCGCTGACTTGGTGACTTGGGCCCTCACTGAGTCCGGCAAGTTTTCGGTCAAATCCATGTACCGTAAACTTTGCCAGGGGCCGACCCTGCCGATGGCGAAGGGTCTTTGGAAAGCGCGTCTCCCGCTGAAGATCAAGGTGTTCTTTCGGCAAATGTTCAGGAACAGATTGCCCACCTCTGAAAACGTGGCTAAAAGGCAGGTGCCGTCCAACGGCATGTGTGTGCTCTGCAACGTGGTCGAGGATGCGAACCACATCTTCTTTCGATGCCCGTTGGCTAGGTTTGCCTGGAGCGCGGTCCGGACCGCGGCTGACGTGTCCTGGGACCCGCGGTCCACCAGCGATCTTACGGGTATCCTTGACTCGGTCCAGGGGAGCAGCAAAGTGAGTGTTGTGGACCTGCGTTGGGGCTCTGCTCTGGGCGCTTTGGTTAACTAGGAACAAAACTGCTATTGAAGGGATCTTCCCAACGCACCCGACTAATATCATCTTCAAATGCAACTTATTCCTGCAGCAGTGGAGTCCGTTGGCGAGGTGCAAGGATGTTGAGAAGATGCAACAAGCTCAAGACCGTTTGCGCCAGGTGTACGTGATGGCTAGGGAGCCAGCCGCCACTTCTTGACTTGGAGTGGCCCTTTTGTTCGCGTGCGAGCCTGCGTGCTCAGTGATCTGGCCTCCGCGCCATGTAACTTCTGCTCGCGCTCTTTTGGCAGTTGAACCATAAACTTCTTGCATTAGTTTGGCCTGAGCTTTTCGGTGTTATCTGTACGGTTGACTTGTTGGTTACGCTGCATGTTGTGGACTTTATTATTTTAAAGCTGGACGCTCCTAGCATCTTCGTTCTAAAAAAACGTCTATGTGGCACGTAGAACGGGGATTTGTCCATGTGTGTCTCAATTCTATGCAGCCGACACACCGCTTCGACCTCGCCATATCCGCCTTTCCACCAATCGCTTGCCTGGTTCAAACACAACCAGCGCCTCCCAACGTACCCGCAAACGTTGTCATCGACGATGCTCTTGAAGTAATCTTCACAGTCAAGGTGTGCCCAAAGAGAGGAAATACTTTCTCTATATGGGGTCATTGGCGCCACTGAAAAATCGTCACATGACGCGTCGGCTCTAACCCTAACTACAATCCAACAACGTGGAAACAGTGCAAGTGCAAGTGGTGGAGAGGGGATCGACAACCTCATTGGGAGGAGTGGAGTATAGCTGGCCAAATGGGTCGGGCTAACCAGGACGGCCTGTGAGCACGTCGGCACGGCCCGCCATGGGCCAGGCATGGCACGGGCTAAACGGGCCGGGCCCGGCACGTGGCACGCCTTGGGTCGTGATTGGGCTGCGAGCCTGAGCACGCGGGCCGGCACGGCACGACCAGATTATGGTTTTTTATTATTTTTTCTATACATCTCTATATGGCCCAACAGATAAAAATAGGCTAAAAAATGCCCAGTGCGTCAAATAGCAGACGAACTAGCGGGCCTAGCGTGCTGGTGGGCCGGCTCGATTAGTAGCTAGGCCGTGCCTGGGCTGCAACCTCCCGCTCATGGGCCGGCACAGCATGGTCGTGTCGTGTCGTGCCAGGAACATTTACCGCGGGCCGGGCCGAGCCGGAAAGAGGAACGAACACGTTACACTAAATGAAGGGCAAATCAGTCAATTTGTGGTGGGAAAATGAAAAGAGGAAGAGAGAAAGGCAGAAGGACGCGGTCAAAGGGTCAAAGAGGACCGGTCTCTTGTATACCTGGCCAAACCTCGGGCCGGGCCGGGCTTCGGGCTAGGCCTAGCCAAGCCCGACACAAAAAACCCAGGCCCGTGCCCGGACCGGACCGGCCATCGGGCCTGTGTTTCTGGGCCCGAGCCCGGCCCGAATATGTAAAAGCCCGTCGGGCTTCGGCCCGGCCCGGCCTGACCTTCAGAAAAATGCAAAAACGACGGGCTCGGGCCCAGCCCGGCCAGGCCTTCGGGCTCAAAAACTAGGCCCGAGCACGGCCTCGGGGCAGCGTCAGGCCGGGCCGGGTCGGGCTTTTTCGGGCCGGGTCGGGCCGGGCCGGGCTTCCCATGGCCAGGACTAGTTTCTTCTCCTCCACTCCTCTCTCGCTCCTGCCGCCGGCCATGGATATGGATGGATGAAGAGCTTGCTTGCCCGCTTGTCTCGAGAGAAACCCAAGTCTCCTCCTCAACCAGCACCACACCATCGGCTTCCCCATTCCGTGAG